AGAGTGAGCGCTCCGTAGCATGTGACCATGGCCTTGTAGTATTGTTCGTGCCTTTTACAGGCACGTGGCACCAGATTATTGGTGTGTTCGCATCACGCAGCAATGTGAAGTCCGAGACGTTAGGCAAAATAATCCTCGAAGCAGTAGTTATGAGCGAAAACGCCGGTCTGCACGTAGACTTTATCACCACTGATGGAGCTGCGTGGAACAGAAGCATGTGGCACTCATTCGGCATACACGGCAGGAAAGAAAACACAGTATGTAGAAGGCAGCACCCTACAGACCCAGAACGTTTTCTGCACTTCAGCTCGGACTTCCCACACCTTCTTAAATGTGTGAGGAACACCTTTGTTCGAACGGGCGTGAAACTGCCAGAAGGCCATGCCAGTGTTGACCCTATTGACTGTGCCCGGAAGCTTGATGAACAGCATGACACGACTCTCAAAGCCATGCCTCATGTTAGCAAATCGGTTGTGCATCCCAATGGCTTTGAGAAAATGAGGGTAAATTATGCAGTGCGGCTTTACAGTGATGAAGTCCTCAGAGGCCTTTTCTTGTACAATGCAACCATCGAAGAAAAGCATGGGAGCACAGCGGCGACAGTCAGCTTTGTGGAAAGAATGAGAAGGCTCATTGAGGCCATGACTTCAAGGTGCAGTTCGGGTGCACTTAAGCCTGGAGGGATGCACGAGAAGTGCATTCAAAACTTCTTGACTTACCTGGACGATTGGGAAACAGCTGCTGGCTCCGGAGGTTTCCTAAGCCGCAGTACAGCCGAGGGGCTTCGTGTTACCTTATCAAGCACGCTACACCTTCTCCGCTACCTGACGATGAAGTTGAACTTCAGCTATATGATGACATGCCGCTTGAGTCAGGACCCCCTGGAGAGGCTGTTTGGAATCGTCCGACAAATGTCTGGATGCAATGATCATCCGACTGCCTCCCAGTTTCTAATCTCGGTCAACACTTTGAGCTTCCAGAATTTGGCAAAACCACCGAAAGGAAGCAATGTGTCCTCAGGACTGCTGAGAAGTCTGCTGGGAGCTGACAACGGAAAGGACCTCACTCCTCGGAGGAAATTAGACGAGCTTCTTGACGTAGGAAACCTTGCCGAAGCACATGAAGTGCTCAATGAATACGGCCACGGCACCGAGCATGCAGACATGGTCGTGCAAAGCAGCGATGCCAGACTCATATTCTACATGGCTGGATATGTGGCAAGAAAAAGCGTTGCAAGCACCAAATGTGCAGAGTGCAGCCAGCAGCTCCTACAAGGCGAGAACGATCCATCTCCAGCTGCAGCATCCCTCACGGCTGCTGTTGACCGAGGAGGCCTGCTGTACCCATCAGTCAAGCTCAATGAACTCGTGACCACTCTCGAGAACACTTTTACCCACTGCTTCAGTGTTACAGAAGTCAAACCTGACAGCATCATGGACTTGGTTTCCTTCTTGCAGTTAAGAAAGCTTACACTTGTTGGCTGCCCTGACCACAGTATGTCCCTCACAAACAAAATTATCAAGTTTTATGTTCTTACTAGGCTCCACTTTCATGTGAAAGCCCAGAACAGCAAACGAAACGCTAAGCAGGAAAGAATGAAATTGCTGAAGCTTAGACGCGTGCTCTGAGTTTGATATTGTAACTTTAAGCTCTATTGATTTTTTTTTGCCGAGTGGAAAGTGATTGTATGCCTCTTATTACTTAGTGCCAAGCGATGCGCTGTCTGTGTGCAATGTTTCAATGTTTTTAACTACTCCCGAGCGTATGTAAATGTGCGTATTTTTTCATTTTATTTTATTTTACCCTGTATTCCATGATGTGCAATAGATCTTCCTAATAGTATGATGTGCAATAAATATTTGTTTTATTTTCCTCGCCCAGAACTTTGGTAATATTTTTTTTTAAAAAAACGCCGTCGCCTTGCACTCCAAAACACTGCAGGGATATGCGAACGAAAGCTTTAATTTGCGCAGATTCAACGTCACAGAAGTCTTGCAGCGGCAGCCAATTTCTTTTAATGCTTGAAATGGCGTTCTATCAGCCATCGTCACAGTGAGTTATCTGAATCGCCAATTTATCTGAATCATGCTTCAGCAACAGCATCTTTGAAAGGTCCGCGCGCTCAAGGCGCGCGCGCGTAACTAGCATCACCATTCCGCCGACAGCGCCACCGCCGCGCTGCTCGAAACGAAGGAGCGGCTCCGAGCTCCCGTTGGCGTCACCTCTCAATTCTAGCCACCATAATTCCAGTGTCGTTTTCTATTTGAAAGTAGTTCTTGATGCGGATTGTGCGGAAATGCGTCACAGTTCTGTGTGCTGACGTGATAAAGAGTTGCACCAGCGCCTCCTAGAATTTCCTGTTCTAGGTGGCTTTGGTTGCATACGCTAGGTAGCGACAGTTGCACTATAGTGTTCTAGTACCCAGTTTTTGGATCTCTCAAACTGAAACTGAAACTGATCGATAATGACGTGCCTGTAATTTATTATATATTGCGTGCGGCAGCAAACAATGTGTCGTGCCATGACTAACTACAAAAACGCATTGCAGCAGAAAAACGCGAAGCCAAACTTTTTGTTTCTGTACCTCTTTAAGCGGGTAGCAATAACTAGAAGGAGGTTATCTAATTGGCGGATAAAGTCAAGGCACAAGTAAAAACTAAACCCTTCACTGCAAAGTACCAGTCTTCAGCTTCACTATTTAAAGGGAAACAAAGATAAATCTAGTTTTTAATTCATTAAGCATTACGGCTAGGTAGCGTTAGCCGCCAAATTGCCATATTTATCTATCCATTCATTCATCTTACTCCACTCATCATCAGCATCTCGATGGCGGGTTTCTCTGAATGGCGGGATCAGCTGGAAAATCACTGAAGATTTTGCGATCTCGTTCTTGATGATTCGACGTGGGAGTACTGGAGGCACCATGAAACAGAAAAAGCAGGTAATGTGTTCAATGTTCACTCCAGCACTGTGTGTTAATGGGTTGTGTGTTAAGCCTTTCAATAATCGGCGTGCATGTGCCCGCGTAAACCGAGCAGTTAAGTCGAACGCAACGCTCCAGCTGAGTATGTTTAACATAATGTAGCACTAATAGCGTCACTGCTTGGCAGTGTCTTCGACAAAAAGAAGTAGCCTTTTCTAGTTAATACTAGTTTGAGTGCTTGCGTGAGAGACGCTACCAGCGTTTCCACTGCGTTAGTTTACGAACACCAGTGAATACCCCGAAGTTTAGTATTTTAATTACGTAAAGTTAATAATGGCCAGCGTAAAAAAGCTCAAATGTTACCCGCGTACCTTGATGAGAAAACAAACTAAAAATGTTTGGCACACATAGCGAAATACTTTTCAAAAGTGCAATGCTTTCGTGACAAATGCAATGCTGGATCCAGATGGGGGTGACCGTAGAAGCGATCGCCCTCGAAGCCTGTCAGCCCCCCTCCTCCCTCTCTCCAGTGCCTGTCGTCAACCTCCTGTGATCGATTAGAATGAATGAGTGGCATCACTGTGAGCTCAAAACGACAGTATTTATGCTGCGGTGGGATTCTTGCGTTAATAGTAACTAAAAGCAAAAATGCCTGAACTGACCCCCCTTCTCCAGCCCCCGGTTTGCTTCAAGCAAGCCCCCCCCCCCCCCCCCCCTTAAGATGAGTGGCTCGATATGTCCCTGAAAAAACACTAGGTCTTCTCAAGGTGCAAGTTGACACGCTTGGTTGTTTCTGGGTTGCATTTGTTTGCTCATGAACACTCGTGGTACTGTCCAATTTGTTTCTGGCCATGTGGATCGTTGTATGTATTGCAATGGCAAATGCACCGGTGCTAATGTAACGTGAAATAAAATAGGTTAAAGCTCGTGCATACAGGGAAATAATTTTAGGACTGAGAAGTTTGTGTGTGTGGATGCTAACTAGCTCCTCGTATAGCAGGAAAACAGGAAAACAAGATCTAAAGGTAACAATATCATAGGGATGAAAAATTGCGGTTATGACTGATATGTCTCTGTCTCAGCGGTCATCTTCGTCGTTTGTGTTTTGTCCATTGTGTTTCCTGCGCTGTAGTGCACCAGAATGTAATGAAGATTATGGTTCAGGCACATTTTTAACAAAGTGTACACTGCAGTGCAAAACTCACACATTGACAAACAGATTTTTGTACATAGTGCTGACCAAAAGAGCCCCTTCTCTTTGCACACACACACACACACACATGATTGATATGTTGGGTTTAACGTGCCAAAACCACCATATGATTATTAGAGACGCCGTAGTGGAAAGCTCCGGAAGTTTTGACCACCTGGGGTTCTTTAACGTGCACCGAAATCTGAGCACACGGGCCTACAACCTTTCCACCTCCATCGGAAATGCAGCCCCCGCAGCCGGGATTTGATCCCGCGACCTGCAGGTCCGCAGCCGAGTACCTTAGCCACTAGACCACCGCGGCGGGGCACACACGTGCACATTAAGTGGCATTGCTGACTGCGGAAGAGGCCAACATCTGTCATGCTAGTTCAGGTGTATGAAAAAAAAAATGGTGCGTCGCAAGTTAGCATATGTCAGAGTTTACAAAATGAACTGTTTTCATCTTACAGCCGTTGTATGCCATTTTAATCCCGACACATCTAATCTGTGTGCATTCATGTGTGTGCCTTTCTGCCTATCTTGTGGCTTGGCTTTTGCTAACAGTAGCTTTTTAATACATTTCAGACATCGCTAGGCAAAGGCCAAAGACTGCTGTCTGGTTACTTCAATAAGGTAAAAAATAGTTTCTAGTTGATACACGCAGCATGTCAGAGAAGTTCTTGCATGACTATAAGGACAGCAATGTTTTTAACAGAATGTTACACATGTTGGAAGGAGCATAACTTTTTATCAATCATCCCCTCCCCTCTTTTAGGGCTTGAAACAATCCACTCTGAGTGAAGTAAGCATTAAGGAAGAAGGTGCACCTTCCTTAACACAGGAGGTCATTGACCTGAGCGATGAGGACTTCGTGCCTCCGACACCATGCGAGCGCTCCTGCAAGCCTGTGCTGGCAAAGTATACCTCTGCCAGCGGGTCGTCTTTAAAGAGCCCTATAAAGCATGTGAGTGCAAAGACAGTAGTAGAGAGGACATTGTCAAAGCCACTGAGGCTGCGAAGCTCGCCAATCAAACAATCGCCCAGAAGTGTATCTTCAATAAATGGGACATTGCCGCAAACAAAAAGAAAGCTTGAGGACGAAGTCGACAACTGTTCCGGTGTCGATATCAAGCGCCCCTCATTTGATTGGGACTCGAAAGCTTTTAGTAGTGCCAGCGTTCTGCCTTCCTTGCCAGTATTGGCAACGATAGAGAACATTGCAGAGAAAAAGGCTTCTGTGCAACAGTCCAGGCAAGGTGACTCGGAAAACGTGATTGTTGAAGAGACTTGCACAGACGACTTGGCATGCGCCAAAGAAATCGCTGTGGATGACTGGGAGCTAGATGACGACTTTGATCTTGGACACAAAAGGTTAGTGCTTCCGTGATGTGTGTGAGCTTCAGTGCACAAAGTGACCTTATTTTGAAAACTTGCTCTAGTCAAATGATTGTGAAATTTAGAATGATCTATCTGAAGGCAAAAAGAGACCGGAGTGCACTAATTGTAAGTGCCTCTAAATTTTGGCTTGCACATCTTGTTTCTGCATACTTCTAACTTGGAATATCTATATGTGTGTGTGTTTGTATATGCATGCAAAAAGTAATACTGTGATGTCTAGAGAGACAAGTAGGATCTACTTCCTTTTTATTAAGATTATTGTTGCTGAGGTAACTAGAAAGCAGACTACTAATTTTCAGTTTCTTGTCTGCTTGTATAGCGTTTTGGTAGAAGGACAGGGTGTTAGCGCAAAAGTGGCCTCGGTCTTTTATTTTGTGTTTTTTTAAACTATTATGAGCATATTTTCCTTACTTTATTTCCATTATAAGCCCTCATGCTACTGGGTTCGGCAGTCTGTTAAAGGGCCAGTAAACAGGCTCATACTTTTTTTTGCACCTCCCTGACAAGCTCAATAATTTGTGCAGACGGTCACAGTGATCACATTTTGCAATTATCGCAGTGCTTCACAGTTGCTCCATTTTGAAAAAGAAGTCTCATGCACCTCTCCAGCGCCCGACCAATGCTTCTCATACATGAAGTGACGTAATCTTGCCCATGGGCAACATTATGCGGCACCTACTTTATCTATTTGCCCTTTTAATTATGAAACACTGCATTGGTCTTGTGGGCGATGCAATTTTGGTTGCCTTGACTGTGCTTTCTGCATTTTTATTTTTATTTACGACTCTGCCATTTTGGTATAGCCTCAAGACTACTGGGACAAACCGTAGCACCAAAACGAAGGTTTCCGCGATGAAGAGGTGTCTCGCGATTTTTACACTCTGGAAAGGATGCATACCGTGCATGCCTCGCCAGTGCCTCGTGCCCCCTCGTACTGCGCTTTCTCCCTGCACAACTATAAGATGAGCGGCACCTGGAGTGCTAGATAGCTAGCTGCACACCGAGGGCGTAACCGCTAACATCGTGTTACGTTGCCGAAGTGGGCATCATCACGACAAAAGGCTACCCCTGCACTTCTGCTCTGATGAGAAGGTTGGGAAGGCCGAGCGAGAAGCCGAAAACAGCTGAAGCAGGTTCTGTACCCTGTAACATCCTTATTAAAGCACTTATTCACAAAGTTCTTGTGGCAGCATGTTCACCATGCACAAGTGTGCAGTTGTTTCTATAACAGAAGTTGGGACCGCGAGGTTGTTTACTGGTTCCTTTAATTAGTGTTTTTATGTGTGTCTATATAAGCATAATTGATATAACCCTGTGAGACAGTAAATCTAGTGTAATTTATAATGAATTACATCTGTTTGTAAAGTCATTTGTTGCACTGAAAAACTGATGACACTCAATGGAAACGTTTCCAAAGGGATGGGTTCACAGAGTTGCAATTGATTTGTGACCAAGTAAGTAGGGCAGATAGATGCCAGGGACATTTCGTAAAGATAGTTATTGACTTATGGTATTGTATAATGACTTATTTTGTTATGATATTTTTAGTTACTAAAAACATTTCTGAATCTGCATCGTATCATTGGCCATGTTTTTCATTTGGTTATTTCTTTGACTTTGTTTTGCAGTCAAGACAAATTATCTGAGATAGCTGAGCGTATATGTCTAGAGGAACTTTATTAAAGCGATTATGTCAAGGACATTAACTTTTTAAATGCAAGTTTCAATAGCATTGCATCATCATTGCGGCACATGAGACCATGGTCCCAGTCATCATTTTCAAATGACACTCGTTTTCATTGGGTAATAGCATGCAAAGAAAATGACAGTAAGATTGCTTAATATTAGGCATGCTATCAGGCAGTTCATTTATTAAAGACGATAGTCTTTCTTGGGGACTTTCGACGCAAAAATTTTGGTCTGTCTGTTTGTCTGTTTGTCCACTCTTAACGGCATCGGGTACTTGAAACGGCCGACCCCATTCGCAGCGCCCACCTATGTTGCTCAAGGTTGAGCGTTCATGCTTGTGCAATAGTCAATTAAAAAGCAATCATTGCGCATGTCTGGGGCACCATAACAACACGTATATATTCTGCATGTGCGCCTCTTACTAGAAAAGGCATACATAAGTAATTTTAAGGACCGTAGCGCTTATCACGCTGCAATAACCATGCAACGCTTGCACGGAAAGGCAAGTGTTTCCAATGCTTTGCTAAAATGAAACGGTGGGCGCACCTACCCGTCGCCTTGCATGCTACACTCTATCACCTCTGAGATGGGCGCGCACACCCGTCTCAGAGCCACGCCTTTTGTTTTCTAAGACAACTGGGAGATGGCGCTTAAGTCTCACGTGTGATTTGACTTGATGCGCTCGTTCGCCTCCGCTGCACGCTCGAGGCACTCTAACGCAGCGCCTCCAGAGTATCATTCACCGATTTTCTTGCGCAGAACATCAAAAAAATGTCTTGTTCACTCTCTCCACACGCAAGACTTTTGTCTTTCGACGGCATTTGCAGATTACATGCAGATACTGGGCCAATTTTTTTCTATGAATCTTTCATTTGATTAAACTAATATACCCATCTTTGTTCTGCCTGTACATTTTTTCATGGTCTCAATTTTTCTTATAAAGTATTGATTTTAAATAGGGCTAAAATTTACATATATGAAACTGTAATTTCAGCCTTGACGTTGATGCGAATGCCGTGCCGGTGCATCGCAGTATAAAGGCTGAAGTAAAAGACGTAAGCTACACTACACCAGGGTGTGTTCGCCTTACTGTCCGACAAGCTGGATTGCAAGAGGAGCTTCAGTGTGTGCTAAAAGGTTCCTGGTAAGTTTATCTATAGCGTTTCTCCTGCAGTATCCAGGTGATCAAGCAAAATTTCTTAAAGGTACTTTGAAATGGTTTTGTTGGATGTGTACAAATTCATTATTGATTAACAAACCCTCTGGACGATTTACTATCCACCTTGTGGGCTTTGTGTGAAATGTGTTGCTGACTGACCTATAAAATTATGATTAGAATTTGAATCACTGAGCATGAAAGGCTTAATGAGGGCTTGAATATGCACGTTACTACAGATCGCAGTGACACTGCAGCACGGCTCTTTTCTGCCCCTGCATTTGTGACGTGGCACATTTTGAGACGGCATCCGAGGGAACGATCTGATTGGCTTTTCAGCCTTTGCACGAGAGTAAAAACAGGAGCGGCAGCGTTTCTTGCCGTCGTGAAATCAAGCAAACGCCGAGCACAGCGTCACCGCACCGGCATGGTCGATCTTGGTAGGTAGAACTTAGCCTCCACTGCTTTGTCAAGCTGACAGGGAAAAGCGCGACATTTGAGGATGGTAATCTGAAATCTCCTGTAGCTCTTTCAATGTGAAGTGCTTCGCTTACAGTATGTTGCTGATGATTCAGCAAGGTGGACAAAGGTAGGAGATTCATGCTACGAAAAGGTGAACACCCATTTTATTACTCACACAGTTGAAAATAATCTTGCCATGACATAAGTATTGCTTTCTCATAACTTTGAATGCATTTTCTCGTTTATGCATTTTTTATATTTTCAACAAAATTAGCAAGTGTACTACAGTTATTTTTTGCACCACATTTTCTAGAGTGAAATGGCAACGTAAAGGGGGGGCTCTAAAACATGCACTATTTTAATCTTTATCGGAGTTCTGAGATTTTGTATGACTTATTAGGTACTTGACTTCCTCTGGCTTGCAGAGTTGGGTAGAAATATTTTGCAATAGAATGAGCTGCGGTGCTATATTCTTATGACATTTTCACTGATTTTCTTCCTTAATTAGGCAAAATGAAAAGGTACGCCCTGGTGATGTCATCTTCATTCATGCCAAGTTCGCAGGGAAGACTGCAAATGTAGACAGCGAAGGTGGCTTCATTGTCACGTATCCCGACATGCTTGTAAATAGCACGTCCATTGTGGCCTCTTTGTTCTGTACCCGCAAAAGTGTGCTTGCGAGCAAGTTTCGTGACATTGATGGGTCAAACGTGACTATGCTTATAGGCAGCATTGCTCATGAGTTGTTCCAAAAGGTGAGGAGCATTCATTGATGAGTCTATTATTACGGTGTTTGTGAAACTTTACCTTCCAACTTGACCAGGCCTTACATTCACGAGGGCATACCTGAAGAGAGAGGTAGTTAATTTATTAATCTGTATTTGCAAGTTACGCTTACGTGATGATAGAAACATGAGTGTCATCACCCGCAGAAAGTTTTCAGGTTACAAAAAGGGCCAAAATGCAAAACAAGTGGTCATGGTCTTCAAATTTCCGTACTTGCTGTGTGTGGCATTGTGCATTTCGACAATGTCTGCTCAAGTCAAAAGTAATGGTTTTTTTTCCCCAATTAATTGGAATGATGTTACATTCTAAACAAACCAAGCGATCAATCTGGGGAGTTTCAAAAACTACTTCTGTTCAAGAAACCGCGAACACATGAAAGTCATTTGAAGTTTGTTCCACGAGATTGGTACGCACTAGCATTATAGTTTGTGTACAAATTTTCAAAATGTAAAATTGGTCACAAAATTTTTCTGCAACTATAATAGGCTAAGTTATTTCTTTGTGCATATACAAAGCGGAATCTTATAAAAGTACTCTGAAAGCTTAAGTTGATTTTAGGGCTCTGGTGTCCGCTTATATTGGCACGCTGCTTGTCTCTAAGTTTTTTTGGTTGGTTAAATTGCTCATTGGCATGCTAGGTTTTCTGCAATGTTTAGTTGCTGCCCTCTATTAATCAATAAATAATCATTTCTCTATATTTGATGAATTAGAAACACTCATGCTGATAAAAAAATAGCTTTTTTATTATAGCTTATTAAATAGCTTATTTCAAAGACCAAAATATATAAACATTTTCATAGGTGCATTTTTGAGTAACTGTTCTTTTTCTGCTGTGTAACTTGTGCAATGTGATGCAGGCACAACACTTGTCTGTAATATATGTAAAAAATTTCCAGAATATTGTCACCAATTTTATCGCAAAACAAACTTTTCTAATCAGATTATAGGTGCGATAGAAATAGCGGTGCATGCTGCATAATGTACGCATCTCTAAGGATCTTGCTGGAACGTATGAAGAGTCGAGGGCATCTATATACAAATTTACCCACTAATGGAGTAAACAGAATTGGGATTCTTTTTTTGCACACTCTGTTCCTCACTATTAAAGGGGCCTTGCTACGCTTTTTCAAGTAATCATCGAATGGGTTTGTAGGAAGAGTTTGTCCTCACGAATCGACTGCTGTGAAAATTTTAAAAATTCACCTAGTTTGAGCGCAGTTGCCAGGATTTGTCACACACTTTAAGTGCTTTCTCATTTCCCATGCCGTGTTGCTAAAAGCTACACAGCGGAGGAAGAGGAGGGATGATGAACTACATCGTGTCGCCTCAGTGCATGTCGTGACCTTGAGCACCCCCACCCCCCAACCCTCCCCACGTCAAGTGTGCAACTTTTGGTGCCATAGCGTGTGCGTGGGCTCATGGCAGCAACCTACGAGAACCATAGTTGCTACGCTACGCGCGGTGCTCACTTCATCCAATGGCCTTAGACTTTTGGTTTACGGCACACTCGTTAGTCGAGGAGAGGAGCAAGCAATTTTTAGCTGACTTTGAGAATTGATTGTAAATAGAAGGCTGCATGCTGCTCTGTCTAATGTTTGGCTTGCATGTTCTCAGGAGCCTCGACTAGCGATCGGCAGTGTTTGCTAACTGTGCCAAAAAGGTTTTGCAAGGCCCCTTTAATGCAACATGGTGATGTATTTTGAAATTTTATGAAGTAAGACTGGTGTCATGAAAGGGACCCTGAAACAGTTTTGTCAATTTTTGCAAATACATTGGGCTGGTAGAACAAGTCCTAAAGGTAATTTAGAGACCGATTTAAACTCTCTGCGTAAACTGTGTAATTTATTACATCGCTTTAAAGCTGCGAATCGCTCCAGATCGCTGCGACCCCCCGGCAAAACGCGTTTTCAATCGCCCATACACCAAGCGACACCGCTCTGCCCTACTGACGTCATCATTTCCAGCTGATCTGATTGGCTGTGGAACGCGCAGAACAGACTGCCGGTATCGGATCTGCGGCGAGATTTACGCGTATACGGTCTCGCGCCACACCGTGACGCAGGCTTCGTGAAGGTGGAACTTAGTACTGAGCGCTCGAAGGAAGAGTTGAGGGCAGTTGAGGGTGAAAGGTGGAGTAGAGGAGGAGGGTACTTTTTTAGTACATGTAGCATCGTTAATAATGGATGTTTCGATTGAACTCTGGTGCCAATGATTTGCTCCCGTAGTGGTCTAATCAAAGACGGAATGTGAAAAAGCCGTTTTAGGGACCCTTAATGTTGTGGTTCATTCCTCAATTTAAACAAATGGAAGTTAGACTACTGGTCTGTTTGCCAATTGGCTTACTATTTTTTTAACCAGAGATGTTTGGGGAGAGAGAGAAAACAGTTGAGTTTAGTTACATTCAGTGAATTCTTTACCACCCCTTAAAAAATGGGCCAATTATGGTGCTTTATATTTCAGGCAGTGACCAGGAATGCTAGCAAGAATGAAATGTTGGAAATGCTGAATAAGGTTCTTCAGAGGAGTGATTTCTTGCATGAAATGTAAGTTTATCTTCATTTTTATTACACAATAGTATTAGTAGTACAGAAGCTGTCACTAAGCCTAAGTTATTTGGCCCTGTAATTGCATTTTGCATCCAGTGCTAAATCTAGTCTAAGCTCAAGTAGTATGTTCCTCAACGTTATTAAGGCAAAAGCCTTAAATCACTCGTATAACGTGAAAATTGACTGGCTTCCCACATTGCCATCCCACGTTAGCGGTGTTAACACAAGTGATTCTATAAACCTTCATCACGCAGTGATGCCATAACGATGTCACAGATCGCCAAAGTTTATGATGTCAAATAATGCTACGTCACTTGGCGACATGACACGACGTAAATGCTTGGTAAAAGGTGGGCTGATCCTGGTTTAGTGTGAAATAAGGTGCAGTGCAGAAGGCCTACAACGCCTCTGATCCTGGAGGCATAGCAAAACCACAGTAGTTGTGCAAAGCTTTCACAGAAGTCCACGGCAGGGTCAATACATCGACCTAGAGAAGTAGAAGGGACCTATCATCTTCAAGTTGACTGAGGCGGTTGCATGAGGGACCTTGAGTGTTTTTAAACATACCTGTGAATGTGGACAAAAAAAAAAAAATAAAGAAAATAAAAGAAACAAGGGACAGAGTAAACAGATAAGGATGTCATTGTACGCACCACTCATAGAAAATAAAGAAGAAAGAAAGAAGTAACATCCTAGTCTGCCTCCCCATTGGGTGTTGTCTTTCAGGTATACTTGCGAAATTCCTATTAGCTGTGTCATGAGAAGCTTACTTGAGGGCACGTATGGTGTTCCTCACGGGTTTCGAGCTGTTCGAGATTCACCTTACTGGGTTCGCAGAATGCAGCTGTGTTGAGACTGATCTCTGGGAGTGCCTTTAGCCAATGTGCCTCCTTTGTTTTCCTTTACTCCAGGTACAGCCTCAGCACTTCAGAGGTTGAGGTGAGGGAACTACTGTTGAAGCTTCTTCCGAACATATCAAGCTGGGCAGAGGACTACATGAGCACCAAGATTTATGCTAATGGCAAGCAGGGCTTATTGGTGACTGCGGTGAGGGACATCGAGGACAATTACTGGTGCCCGCGCCTGGGTATCAAGGGCAAGGTCGATGCCACGCTGGAAGTCAAGGTACACGACCGGCGCCGCCGGCTGGTGCCACTGGAGCTCAAGACTGGACGACACACCTTCTCTTCCGAACATAAGGGACAGGTGGGTTGTCTTTAAACCTGCTGTTGACTCGGAAGAGTGGGCCTGATAGTGACTAACAAGAAAGATTATTTTTCTCATATTAGTTAATTACTCTTTTACAATTCCGAAATCGCCGCACTTGCTACGAGAAGGCACTTGGAAAGTGAGAAAACTAAAAAAGAAAAGAAAAGTAGATGTGGGTGGTATCGCCACTTACAAATTTCTGCACGAAACGTTGCGATATCATTGATTTTGATGGCATCTACCAGCTCATACGTAGTTCCTAATCACTAAAAATTGAGCACATTGTTCTTTGAGGAAGCCCGAAGAATACCACAGTTGAATAAATTTCATTGAGCCTATGTAGCCAACATGTGAAAAATATGTTTTAAAATGACATTTTGAGACCAAGTTTGTCCATTGATAGAAACAGCAAATAAAGAATTAGGTTAATGGTTATATATTGAAGCTAGACATATGAATTATTGTTGTATGTGATAGCTGTAACACTTCATTGGAAATCGCATGCGAAAGTGTAACATATAAAAAAAGCATTTGCTGTTTCATTTGATATACACTCAAACCTGATTATAACAGTCACATCTGCTTCCAAAATAACTTCGTTATATCTCAAAATTTATTAGAAATGTTTATCGGTTAAACAGTATCTGTCATAAAACTATTCTTCTCTTACTTTGTTGTAACCAATAGTTTGTTATATCTATGTTCCTTATATCGAGGTTTGAGTGTATATTGAACACTGTTCTTCTCTCTGTGCTATCATTTCCTTTTTGGCAGACGCTGTCAAACAAAGTACCAAACCTAAAGAAAATGATATACTGTTGAGAGAGGGAGAGAAAAAAACTAGGACCATCTCCCGCTATGGGAACCATGTGTAGATGCGAAGCAGCGGGCACTAACGCTTACACTGGTGGTGACGTTGACGCTGGCGCTCATCAAGCGGAAGCCAGGTGAAGATGCCCTTGACTGAATTCCGAACGCGCGATCCAGTGCCTACACATACCGGGTGGCCAGTGAACGGTTGTGCAGCGCGAGCAGTCGGTTTTTACTAGTAGGCGCTGCCTCTGTCGGCCTTGCGAAGAGAGAGAGGGGAAGGGGAGCGACAGTTTTGCGGGTGTCTTCCTGGGCCTACACGAGACGTGAGCATGCGCAGTGGGGGTTTACGGAGGGACAGCGTTACACAGGATAGTCAAAGAGCTGCTTCGCATCTAAAAATCTAGTAAGCATAAGCTCATGTTGTAAAAACACATTTTCTGATGCAGCAGGTGTCATACAGTAGAGCCTCCTCCTCAGCGTCTTGAAAAACAAATTTTAATCCAAGTTTATTTAAACAATGGGAAGTTTCACTTCATAGCCGCATTGTGAATGTTGGCTCAGGAGATCCCTGCGAAACAGGAATCTACGTATTAATGTGGCTTTACTGTGTTAGTGCTCCTTAACGATTGATATACTTTAAACTTGACATTAGTGCAGCAACGTCAAGCATTGAAGCATACCAATAGTGGAAGGAATTGCCTTGAATCAAAGCATACTAGGTGGCACCATATATTGTAACTATTTTGTTGTTTCTTCCAGACCTTAGACATCGAGGTTTATCGGTATATACACCAGTTTATGTAGGAATCCACATCATAAAGTCAAAGGGTGTCTCTAGGTGTCTCGAATGACTTGAAATGTTCTCATTCAGGTTATCTTGTACTCAGTGACGATGACCAAACCACAGGTTTGAAATCGGGGGTCTGCTATACTTGTGCCCTGTTACGACAAATTTGCTTTAACCTTCACTGCAATGCGGCAATGTCAAATGGTGAAGCATACAAGTAGCACCGATATATTGTAACTATTTTGTTATCTCCAGCAGATTCTGCACAACAGAGTTCATCAGTATGTACACCAGTTTGTACAGCATTTCTAAAGTTGCACAGAAATTAATTTGTACATCAAATGGGATTAAAGGCACACTAAAGAGAAATAACAGTTTTCTGAATAAGTGAATTACTCTTTTCATTATCTTACTGTGGCACACAAATAAACCATGTACAGTAGATGCCTTTTAAAAGAAACCTGAAGGGACCAGGAAAATGTGTTTCCTCTAAGAAACGTTTCGTTTACTGAGAGATAGACAAAGGTATAATATTAAAGTATGAAACCAAACACATTAGTGGTAGTTGTTCCATTTAAGCAGCAATTTCATTTAAGATAGTTTTATTTAATAGGAGTATACTCTATATGTAACAACACCAATCATATTTTTTTCACTGTACAGTCACCCCATAAACTTTATTGACAATTTTTTCCGGAATAAATTCGTCAGAAAAATTTAATTCAGCAGTAGCAAAAACACAATTTTGGAATAAATTTTGTTAGAAAAATTCACCCTCAAAGGGTTTTATACTAAAATTAACAGTGCGAGAGCTTTGAGAGCACAATTTATCAGCGTATACTACTTTAGCATTTTACTTTAATGCCTTTAATGTCTCTTTAAAAGTCAAGACATCTATGTGCGTCTCGGATGACTGGAAGGGGTTTTGTGCAGGTTATCTTGTACACGATGATGATGGCCGAACGGCAAGCCGAAGATGTGGAAGAAGGCCTCCTGCTCTACATTCGTGACTCTGTGGACATGCAGCAGGTACCTTCCAGGCATGCTGAGCGCAGGGACCTGTTGCAGAGGCGCAATGAGCTCGCCTCCTACCTGGCTGATGCCACTGGCGCCTTGCCCGCACCCATAGATAGCCAGCGCTTTTGCCCAAAGTGCCCCTATGCCACAACCTGCTCTATCTACAGGAGGTATATGATCGGTCCTCTTGTCTCCCTTGAGCACTTAGGACAGCCTGGGTTTGTCATGAGCAGTCCTCACTGTTTTGCTTATGACGAGCAAAGCTCCTCATGGTTTTTTAGAATTTTTCGAGGGGTTTTTAATCAGCCCAGCTTGTGAAATAGTGTTTTCTTATTTAAAACATAAATAGCAGCACAGATTTCGTGATTGCCACTATTACTGAATGGGAGCCTGCACACTACTAAATGGCAAAATGCACGCCTTGCGTTTGCCGATTAGTACAAACAAATATGTCCACAAGCATGTGGTATTCTTGTACAGAAAAGCTTTCTCCTTTAAAAGATAAAAGCGCAAGTGCCGAGGAAGTTGGGTTGTGTTGGATTATTTTTTGTGATGTTCGAAATTTATTTCAGGATATTCCTCAAATTTCTCAGGTATGGAGTAATGCATGACGGCTCGAAAAAATTTTCGAGGTACAGTCAGCATAAAGGGCTAGAGAGACGCTACAGTGAAATGGTAAATTAATTTTGATTGATAGATTATGCTCTGAAAACTTTGTTGTCATAAATTTCACCCCCTTAGGTGAACAGACTATAAAATTGATGTAGAAAGCTTCACATTTAAGTTTCCTGCCAAAATCTTTGATGGTGAAGTCCTGGATTTCGAAGCATCTTTTTTCATGCTTTGGCCACATTGACTCAAAGACATTTTCTGAGACTTGGTATGTTAATGAGGCACTGACAAGAAAATTTTGAGTTGTCGTTTCTTGTAGTCAGTAGAAAGGCCAAGTTCTGAAAAGCCTATAAAATGTACTGCAAAACGTGAGTGCACCCTGCAGGGGTGAAACGGCTGCACCATTGAACCATTGTGCGCCAAACTTGTTTATCTGCACCATACTGTGCCAAACCACTCATGCTGAGCCATACTCGCTTATAAGCACCGTACTGCACTCACGATAGTTCAGTGGTTATGGTGTTCAACATTGCCTAAATGTTGCGAGACCGAATCCCAGCTACGGGGCTGCCGTATTTTGATGGAGGTGAAATGCTAGAGGCCCGTTTTAAAGTTCACCCTGTATTCAAAATTTCAGAAGCCCTTCACGAAGGCATCCCTCATACTCATACTGTGGTTTTGGGACATAACACTCAATTTTGTTACTGTATCCTTAACTCCCTAACTAAATTTCGGTAATTGTATAAAAATTTCTCAAAATAAGCAAGTGTCTCTGGCAGCAGTATTTGGCGGAAATTGTCATGTGCGTACCTTGTTATTACTTATTAGGTTGACCCTGTAATCTTTCATTGGCAACAATGAATAAAGAACACTTCGGGGAAAACAATTCTGATTATAACTGCCCAATATTTTTAGTCTGAAAAGGGATTGGCTCTTAGGTGCAAAAGTGTTGGGAAAAACATAATGAACAAAAACACATCAAGATTTATTGTATTCTAAAAGAACTTGTTCTTGAGTGTGTTGGTGCTTTGGTTTTCCATAGATTATTTTGATTAGTGTATCGTAAGCACGAAGAATATTTTGGAAAATTTGATGTAAACCACAGAAAGACTTTACTTGGCCGTCTCTGCTTCTTTTTTTTATTTCTATTACAAATCACAGTAATACGTCACAAATGCAGTAGTGAAACTTGCTGGCTCACACAACACATTAGCACGGTCTGCATTCACAAACACTGTTGCGTAACTTACTGTTCATGTGCCGATCTTTTTGCCTTTTTATTAAATATTCAGAAACTCAGTACGAAAGGTCGGCAGTGCAGCTGGAGAGAGCACCAGAGCCACAGTTTGTTGCAGACAGTGTCAAGCACTTGAGTTCTGAGCACACAAGCTACTTCTTGGATTGGTGCACCATGTTGGATATGGAAATGAAGCACGCTAAGCTTGACCTTCAAGATCGCTTCTGGGTGGAAGATGCTGTGAAAAGGTGGGCGCCTTTACAATCATTTAACTTTGCAGATGTCTTTCGATGCCTGCTCAGAGCACCTACGTCTTTGTCTGTCTTCGAGATGTAGAAAGTTGGTGTACAAGCCACCCAATTTTTTTCGCGTGAATGTGTGAGCACCGACCACCCAGTTGATAAGCAGCCTCTAAGGAAGGCAGGGGCAAAATGAACGAGAATATGCAGACGTACACCTGTCTTCTGCTAGGGTGTTCAGCGATATGAACACCACTCCGCTTTCTTTCGAGCACCATTATCGCCGTACTTTCTTCTTTTCTGAATTGTGCATCAAGGTACAGAGAGAGAGGGTGGTCGCAATTGAAACGGATGTAATGTGGTATAGATTAGCTGATTATGCTATGTGTGTATCGGCACTTCCAGCCTTTTTTTCTGTGGTTCTCTAGCACTTTCCCGAGGCAAAAATATATCTGCGACTGCAAGCTCGACAGAGGGCTAAAAAGCAAGGACAAAAAAAAAGCAGGTGGGGTTGGGTCTGCTTTGCATGACAGCCTGGCTGACGAAAGCAGCACTAAACTTCACTGTGTGCATGCGCATTCTCTTGCTCACTTCGCTGCTGTTTACCTACCACCATACTGTGCTTATTTACTCAGCAGTCGAAACTCTCGTGTTTTGGCTAAAGAATTGGAAAGGCGTGCGTGTGGACAAAACTTGATTGTTATTATTTTGCTGCACAATACACACATGCACACACACACACACACACACACACACACACACACACACACACACACACACACACACACACACACACACACACACACACACACACACACACACATATATTGTTTTTTTTTTCCAGGGAACACAAGGGTCTTTGCTTCAGTAACGTGGAACTTGCGAAGAATCAGGAAGTTCCTTCTGTCAGCGACCAAGCCTCCTTCCGGCACACTTTCCACAGAAAGGTGCACCTCGGCAGGCACAGTACAAACAGTAGTGCTCCATTGGAAAGCTTCACAAAGTGCTTTGGCCTACACGTGGGCGATCGCATTGCTGTTAGTGAACAGGAGAGCTTGACATGTGTGGCCATAGCTACGGGTACAGTGACCAGTATAGCTGACAACGAGGTGGTGCTGGACTTGGACAAGTAAGTGTGCAATATTGTTTACGGTTACCACGCCATGATTAAAATTACGTGTAATGCTCTATTGTTGGTGCGGGCTTGTAATTGGGCTGACGAAAGAAGGAACATCAGACTGATCTTTTGAGGCTGGAATTCCCCTTTACGTCTTATATATTGTCAGCACTGCATTCTTGATTAGCTACAAAAAGTGACCTACTCTCCAATGCATTTGCGTAAGACCAGTGGAAGATGAAATCCATCTTATTTTTGTTCTCAATTTATTGTTGTATTCATTCCCCTTCTCCGCACTTAAAATGGTTTTGGACCGCCTCTAAGATTAGAAACATAAGATTTGTGCACCTCATATTAGGAATCAGCCCCTCTTCGACTAAGTCATGGTATCATTTGATGTTTTTTGATGAAGAGTGTTGTGACTTCACGATGCTGTCATGATGTCGGAAATTACGGCGGCCTATGACGTCATGATGATATAATAGGGTGACCCCATCACGTGATGATTTTTTGCATCACTCGTGTTGACCCTGTTGTCGATGATCGCTTTCTGCATTTGATCATTAGAGACTAGACTTTAGACAAATGCTTATTCTGTTCCTTGCGCTCCTATCACGCTATTTAAATATATGAGCATGAATAAAAGGTAAAAAAAGGCTTTTATGGTGTGTTTATAATGCCTATAACTTAGGCTTGTGCAAATATTTGAATGCTTCGAATCATGCAGTTTCATACAATAATACCTAGAGAAGAATCTGGCGCGGCAATCGGGTACCCCCGTGGAAATTATGGGAAGTACAGGCTTCGGATTGGATGGCATTAGCCAGCGAACTCTCTACGAATCTTTTTCTACAGTTTCAGTTTCGTTCTTCGCGTAAAGGCAGTAGGGGGGTGGGTGCAAAGGACTGAAGCTGCGCCTTTGTTGTTCAAAGAAGCTGGAAACTGCTATGCCTCTCAATTTACTGCAACGCTGGGGCTGTATAAGTAGTGTTCGACAGCTTAAGCAAAGCGTCGTCCACTCACCTCTGTGCGTAGATTCAGCGTCTCATGCCAGTGCAGGATATTACATCGAGTTCACGTTTGTTGTTAGTGCGTCTTGCCAAAACTTGTTGAAATTAACTGCAAAATGACGACGCGAAGTGGACACACCGCCACGCTTTTCCGACTCGATTTCACAACAAAATTAGAGGTGCGTTGGGGACAGACCACTTGAACAGACGCACCTGGCAATTGCAGCAGACGAAGCTGTTGTCACTTAATACAGTGCTGTTAATTCCATCAATAGATATTGCATACTTTGGAGAGCAAAACAAGAATGTTTGTTTTGAAATATTGTGAAGAATAATTTATTAAATATTGAGGCTAGATCTGGAACGCAATGGCAGAGGAATGCATACCCTGGTGGTTAAATTTGTCCAGGTTTTCCTTCTACCGCCTAGTCACAAAAACATTTTGCAATAAAGTTTGCATACAAAAAAATGAAGCAAGTTTCCAATTAGACATAACTTTATATTACTTTGTTTTACACTCAACAAACAAGCATCGTGAATCTCAAGAATGTAATCCATCCGTAGCAGATCCGAAGCCTGTACTTCCCATAATTCCCATGGGGGTACAAGCGCCGCTGAAGAAGCCCGTGTAGACACTAGCGCCAGTTTACCCTCGAGGTATTGTTGTATGAAACTCTATGCGTAGAATATTTGAACGAATAGTAGAGCATTCGAATTCGCTTTGATTGAAATTTAAATTATTGAAAATTTCAAAGTATTCGCAATAAACAAATAGGTGAATAGGGGTATAAACAAATATGTCCGCATGTAACCACTTGTAAAGGGGGTTTTACTGTAGTGTAGGGATGCTAAGTTGAAAAAGCACCTATTCAGGGGAATGCCGCCCTGCCGCGAAGCCTTCCTTCAAATTTAAAGGGGCCCTGCAACGCTCTTTGAGCATTGTCAGAAAACAGTGCCGATCGGTATTTAGTGCTACAGAGAACTCACTAGCCAAGTATATAGCACAGAACATGGCCTGCAATTCACAATAAATTGTCAGTAAGCTAAAAATTGCTTTCTCAGCTCGGCAAATGACACCACTAGCTCAAAATCACTTGACACAGCCATTGGCTGATTTGAGCACGGCGCGCTTGGTTGTTACTGGGGCCGCCGCGGGAGGCTGCCACTTCTGCGTACGTGCGTGTACTGAAAGGTCACGTATTCGAAGGGGGAAAAAAAGATAAAAAGTGCTCAAGGTCAGGAGGCGTGCACGTGACTATTTTCTTTCCCCGTGCCGTCCCTCCCTACTTAGTTTCCAGCTCTTTCGTCGGGACAAGAAGAGAAAATGCAATTGCAGCAGGCGACAAATATTTGGCACTCGGCTCGAACTGGACTGCTTCTAAAAATTTACGGCGGTGAATTCGTGAGGCAATAAGCTTTTTTAGTGGCTCCATGGCAACTTGAAAAAGTGTGGCAAGGCCTCTTTAAACGAACATGTTACCCTCAAGTCAATTCATCATTTTATTAAGCTTAAAAGCTTGTTATGACCATTTATATGCTCCAAGTATAATAAACTTGAGAACTTTTGGTTATCACTCGCAGCTTATCAAAACTCATATCCAGCAACTAGTCAAAGTTGTCTCGATTCTCTTTGAACAAAAAGAAAAGACATTTGCATAGAGCCCCTATTTCAAATTAAAAAAAATGTATTGTGCAGGTTAGTTAGGTCATGCTAAACATTTCCTGATTTTCATATATCATACTTACCATTCGAATTCGATTCCAAATTATTCGACCAAATTCACTATTCGCTTTGAATTGCTTCGAACCAAAAATTCACTATTCGCACAAGCCTACTATAGGTTGTATTCACATGACGTCAGCTTGGCGGGCGCAGCAGCGAAAAGTGCGCCAGCTGTGCTGGCAACCACGTGGCCGCCATTTTGTAGGCCACCATGAAGGCCATCATACCGGCGGCCGACGGCACACCAGCTGTTGAGTCCGACAGTTCCAACAGGCGCTCACATGTTACTGTGGGCAGGTTGCTCTTGTTTTATTTTATTTGGATTTAGGAGGTACGAGACTTGCGATTTGTGAAGCTGCTGCAGCCATAGACGATGCATGCTCGGCTCGCTTGAGCGTGTACGCTGAGGAATTTGGTCGCCGATGCTCAAGAGCGATACACGGACAAAGTGGCTCCGTGCAGTGTGCGTTGACCCACTCATTTCGACGAGCGAAGAGGTCGCATTTGACACCAGGCTGGTTTCGAAGGTGAAACTCTGAGACGTAAAGAACTGCTTGGTGCATATACGTCAAGTTTTGTGACGCACGAACGACTCAAAGCCACGAAATCATTGGATGTTTGACTAGTGGGTTTGCCCACGAACATTCGCTGAAAAGCCATGGTGACTGTGTCGCTGTGGGCGCAAAGGTAAGATAATCTGAAGTTATATCTGTAAGCGGTAGAGTCAAGTTTACCCATGAATTTGATACTAGTGCGATGTTTTACAAATTAAGTTGAAGTGGCGGGCTTGACAGGGCTTACAAACTTGCACGTGAAAACACTATTGCATGGGGCAGATTAGATTGTGTTAAACAGACTGAAATTTGGTTGACGTACGCACAGCTTGATAAATCGAATGAAAAGTATCAGGAGCATTAAATTATTCACAAGACCAAGGTTACAAGCCACCTGTGCTTTGACATAAGTGTACTGAGCCAGGTCACTTTGGCGAGAACAACAAAAGTGTGTGCCTCTCATTTAAGCTCGAAGTTTACCGCGCATGTATTAATATGAATAGTCCAACATTGAGTACTCAACTTTGTTGTGCTTTTCGCAGACGTCTCTGCCAGAGCATTGAAACTGACTGCATTTACTGTGTTATTGTGATGTCTTTATTTTCGTGTTTGGTTCGCATCTGAATTACTGAAAGCTGTCAGAATCTGAACTCAACTGAGTTTCCATTTGCAGGTGAACCACTCTCAAGCACTCACCCCACAGCCTTGTTAAAATCAGCCTGGCGAAGACGGCTGAATCACTCGCCACGATGCTTCACTGCAACCTGCAGTGTACGGCTACATGACCGCAAATAATTTTCGGCAAGGAATAAAATTTAACTGGTTTTGCGTTTTCAGGCTCGTCACCCTTTCATTTTGTGGGATGACTGCGCACAAACACGGCACAATCAAATGTGATAACGGATGGCGGGCGCAAAAAACGGCTCAACTTTAGTATCACGCAGAGACACACACATGTGCACATGGTCGTAGTCATGGCGTCCGAAAGTAGTGCCTTCCTCGCATTGCCCGCTTGCTGTATGAATAGCCGAAGCGTAGGCTGCGGGAGCACAGGGTTGCTTGGAGGTGAATACCATCTATAAAGGCCTATTTTTGGCATTTGTGCCTAAATGCCTGTAAGTGCCTCTAAATGCCTACCGTACTTTCAAAAGCATGGCCTATATGAACACCATTTTGTCTCAGGTTTCGCTTTCAAGTACAATTTGAAATGCTGTTCATGTTTCCAGGTAATACTGAATGTTCGAAACTCGATGGTGTTCATTCTAGTGCTCTAGTTCAGCCAATTCCTGGAAAACAGCTGCTAGCAGCAGTGAAGTGGACGCACCAGCAAGCATATTGTCACGATGAATCACAAGTACTGGGGGTTTATTAAACCACTGAGTAGCTAGATCTAGGACATGCTTCAGTCGTGGCTGGCTCTAGCACGCGATCTTCTTTTTTTCCTCCAGATTGAGAGCCGCTCTTGCAGTCGACCCACTACGTGTGGGTGGCATTATCCCCCTATCGAAAAGAAAAAAAAAAGTCCCAAAAGAGGGAAAGATAAGTACATAGCACCACCCCGATGTTAGAACATAGGCACGTGAAAAAAAGAAAAAGAAATTGCAAATTCGAATGAAGTAAAAGTAGAAATTAAAGAGTGTGCCAATATAGGAAAAGTCAATGAATGAAGAAGCGAGTTCACAAAATAAATAAATAACACAAAGAATGGTGTGCGATAAAGAAAAA